AGAATGTTAACCAACCGATACAATATGGCCAGGGACTGTACGTTTTACCGCGTTAAGCTTTGTCAGAATTTTTAATCAGTCAAACAACTTTCACAATAAATGGATTGCTTAGTAAAAACATTCTATGCTTTCGCCAAATCTCTGCAAGTTGCAACAGGATAATCGATTATTGGCATAAGCTTAACATTATTTGTAATTAGAATAAACTTTTATGTCACCTTATGATGATTTAAAAAATCAAAGTTTTTAAATAATTAAGAATACGTGCGTTGTTTCCTGTGGAAAAAGCAATTTTTGGTAAACTTGTAACTATGTCTTTGTCTTTATGTTTTATTGCATTTATTTTAAAACTCATAGCTAAATATGTTATTGTGATCTTAGTTGTTTTTAAAATTTGTTAAATAAACCATATTAACTAAATGTTACCTTAGTTTAAAAACATCTTAAAGACACGGAATCTTTAATTTCTTTTTGTTCGTATAGATACTGGTGTTGTTTTATTTATTAGAGTATAATTTACATACATGTCATGTTATCACAAATATGATGATATTACATACTTTTCTTGCACCAGTATTTTTTTTTTCAATTACAGAATGTCGACTATTGAGATAAACTGCCTGCTTCCCATATTACGTTTTGTGTTGCCAACGAAGACCATGGCATATAACTCAATTTATTGTGCAACATTAAAGAAATATATCGATAAAAAAAAATTTAAAAAACGATTTTTTTTTTTTTTTTTTTTTTTTTTTTTTTTTTTTTTTTTTTTTTTTTTTTTTTTTTTTTTTTTTTTTTNAAAAGCTATTAAAATAAGAAAAATATCAGAAATGTTCCTATATTCTTAACTCTTAATGTTTGTATACCGCTACCTTTTAGCACTAAAATAACATTTATCTGGGTCAAAATATATTAGAGGTTCCATTTATAGAAATTCTGAGCAAATCATTCTAGCGAATTTCGTGTCTCATGGTCTCGATAGTTTACCGAAGTTGCGTCTTGTTAAAATCGCCCGCGCCTAAATATTCGTTCGCCAATGGCGAACTAGCTACTGAAAATGTCGCGGTCTACTTAAATTGTCACAGCTTGTGTCTTGTTAAAAATATATAACTAACGCTATTATAATAAAAAATAATCAAAGTGGTTTTTTTAAATACATATTCAATGAATATTCTATAAAGTATTAAAAAGAAATTATTGCTTTAAGGGAATTCATTAGACTCAAAAATAAACATAACAAAACCATATCTAGATATGGTAAAAACTTAATCTATGACGCTAAAAATACTGTTTTATACTCATTTGTTGTACTAAAATTCCTTCATGTAACTTAAAAATGACAACAACAAAAAACTAACTTCAAAAAATTGTTAAACTGTGTAATTCATTTGAAGTTGTGTACCTATATTAATCTTTTGAAGAATAACCATGCGGAAAAGTTTCTTCCATATCATAAACTTATAATATGGGTAGACTACTCACGAAGTATTACACGCGGAAACCAGCAACCCCCAGTCATGTGACCGGTTCCCTCCTTTTGCGAAACCACACAATGTTATTTCTACCTAGAAGATTTTCATTTTTCATAATTTCCTTAATTTACCATCAGTCAATGAAACAAAAAGCTATTATCTCTGAAATCAGTGCTAAGTATAAGATTCAAATAAAATGATTATTTATCCCCAATGAATTATGTAAGTAATTAGATGGGGTTCTATCTCTTAGTGTTTATTTATTTCGGTTTTTAAAGTTTGCAGTAGCAAAATCAGTTTATTAAACACTAGATTGCCTCAGGAAGTCATTTTGACTGCTTTTTAATTTCAATTAGAAAAACAATGGCGTATTTCTTAGAATTTTGTGACTTTTCGTACAACATATAATTTTTTTGTTGTCAATATTTACTAATAACTTGTTATTTAACTTTAAATATTATAAAAGAAATTTAAAAATTAATTTTAAACAAATTTCTTTATTCTTCCACAATCTAGTCATTTTGACTACTTTTGGGCAATATAGGTATATACAGTACAGTACCCGTTATCCGGAAATCAGAAAACCGGAAAATCAAAAAACCGGAACGAATTTCGATAAATTTTCTCGCATTTTTTAAAAAAAAAAAATTTTTTTCCTCATAAGATTTTAGGATTTTTCTTTCTTTTTTGAAAGATGTTTACCTTACCATCATTTTGGAAATAATCATTAGTGTATTACTTCATAGTTTTTTCTTCTTTTTAAGATTAATTCCAAATTTTTTTTTTTTTAGCTGGGTTTAACAATAAAAGAACGGCTTTTTGTAGCTATTCAGAAAACCGGAAAAATCAGTTTTCCGGAATAGCGATGGTCCCGATCGTTCCGGATAATCGGTTTCCTACTACTATATTTCAGCTTTTCTAAAGTTAAACTCATTTTAAAATCATTTATAATATTTTGTTCATATTTTAACAAATTGAAATAACTAATTTCTTTAGCTTCTAGAGAAATAAATAAATTTTAGCTGAAATAATTGTTGCTCAATTAAGAAATACAAATATGTAATACAATATAAATACATTTATTTACTGAAATTATAAATAAATACAGATTTAATTTAATTAGACTTTTAATTTAATTTATATTATTAAATAATTAAACATATTTTGTGTGTATATATTTGTAAGTAACAAAGTCTTGAACTATGGTATGCAAAACAATTATTCAATGAGAAAATTGTGGCAGATTGAAAAAATGTGAATTAAAATATAAATATTTTTATTTATTCGAATAGCATGTACTTTAAAGTTATGAATTGTTTATTAAACTTTGCTCAAAATATTCTATACTTTTGTCCAACTTGTTATATACTAGTGATAAAATATGCGAATGAAAGCTATTGGAAATATTTATTCTAATTTTAATTTTTAAAAAAAAGTTTTTTTTTTTTCATTTTGAGTAGTTAGTAGTTTTGAGTGTTCAACTTGATATTACATTTTGTTTTATTGCGCAAAAATTATGAAACTACAAAGATGTGTTGAAAAATGTACAGGGAGTATAATGGAATAATAACTTTAACATTCGATTATTAGTTCGAGAATTATTGACTGTAAAACTTGTAGCAAAAAAAAGCCATGTGGACCGCTCTACAGGCCGCGGGAAAACTTCAAAATTGAAAATTGGTATGTGAGAGCCATATTTATTTATGAACAGAGAATTTTCGACATTCCAATTTGTTCGAAAATTATTGCAATTATTAGCTCATTTTTGCGATTTTTATCACTCTTTTCGTTACATTTTGCCTTGCTGCACTTAAAATTGCGAAGGTGTGTAGGAAAAAAAATGCAGAAAGTACGACGTAATTTAAAATTTCAGATTCGACAATTATTAAATGTTAAACTTGTAGGGAAGGAATACCGTATTTGGTCAATCTCTAGCCATCTGAAATACAACTACGGAGTTAAGCTTTGACGAGCTGAAAGAACAATTTTCAATTGTGAAGATACGCTAATTTCGTTTCGAAATTTTACTTTTTTCGACACTTGTTGGAAGTTTAAGTTCTTTTTCGTGATTTTTCTGCTTTTTTGCTTTAAATATTGACTATTGTTGTAGAAAATGTCTTTATATCTTATAAACTCGAGTAGATGTCAATTAAAAGAGAAAGACATTACGTGTTGGCAAATATAATTTAATTAGGAATGGTCATTTCTTGGAAAGTGACTCTTTTGGCGTTTTTAACTTAATATTTATTGGAAAAAAAATAAATAGCTGCATAAAGAGCGGTAAGAAACATTCCCTATTTGAATTGTTTTAAATTTCCTCAACGAGTGAAATTACTGCTCAATTATTTCGTTTTATTGATTCACATATTCGGTGTTCTTTAAGTTAAGGGAAGTCTGTAAGACATATACCAATAAGGCTAAAACTGATATTTTTCGAAGTACCTTTTCTCAGCATCTAAACAACATATTGCTTCAGTTTTTTTCACGGAATATTTACATATACATACATGTTTACACTGCGATAACTGTTAATACATATCTTTGACAGAAATTTGTTTTTTAAAATTATGAACTGAGAACCTTTAATTTTCTAAAAAGTTTCATCAAAAATCTTTCCTAACTCAAAAAGCTTTAGTATTAGTTTAGTTAAAAGTTTTAGCTAAAACATTGTCACAGCATACAACTGATATAATCTTCAATATCCCCAAAAAATTTCAAAGCTATATCATAACTAGTTTCTTAGAAAAGGTACATCATAAAAGGTCAGTTTTAGCAATATTGATTTATGCCCTACCGTTTCCCCTTAAACTTTCTTTTTTTCAAATTCAGAATATTATTTTTCAAATCCAAATAATCACCCATTTCGCCAAATCCCGGTCTGTTGCAAAAGGATAATCGATTATTGTCGTAAGCTTAACATTATTTATAATTGGAATAAACTTTACTGACACCTTATCATGATTTAAAAATCAAAGTTTTCAAATAACTAAGAATACGTTGTTTCCTGTGGAAGAAGCAATTTTTAGTAAACTTGTATACATGTCTTTGTCTTCTATTACATTTATTTTAAAACTCATAGCTAAATATGTTATCACGATCTTAGTTGTTTTTAAAATTGGTTAAATCAAAATATATGCTAAATAAACCATATTAACTAAATGTTACCTTAGTTTAAAAACATCTTAAAGACACGGAATCTTTAATTTCTTTTTGTTCGTATAGATACTGGTGTTGTTTTATTTATTAGAGTATAATTTACATAAATGTCATGTTATCACAAATATTACAAACTTTCCTTATACCCGTTTTTTTTTTCAATTACAGAATGTCGGCTATTAACATGAAATGTCTGCTTCCCTTAATACATTTTGTATTGGCAACGAAGACCATGACATACAACTCAATTTATTGTGCAACATTAAAGAAATATATCGATTAGAAAATTTCAAAAATGTTTTTTTTTTTTTTGCTATTTGATTTAAATGGAAAATAAAATTAAACAAATTGAAATTTTTGTTTTGTTTCTAGTATCTTATACTACAGACGATCTAATATTTGATTGGGAAACAGAGGTGCCTCTAGTAGTAGATGATGATATCGAATTACCACAACACAACTTAGTTGACACATCTTTAGGAGATTGCACTAAAGTGTATTCTACAGGTAAAGTCTTTTCCTTTATTGGGTAGTGTTACGAATTTTTCTGATTAATTTTTTAAGTAAGGTTGTATTGGGTCGGGTTGACTCTTTTCATGAGCTACTTTCATTATTTTTTGACAGCAGGCCAATTTTTGACTGTTTGGTGTTATTTATGAAGATTTAAAAACCGTCACATTGACACAAGTTCATGTTAACAATTTTCCTGTTCAAGAAAACCAGATTTTTGTGCTTTTTTTTCAACTTATACGATATATAATAGAACAAGTTATGGAAATCAATGAGACTATCTAGAAATAATTTGTTGGTTGAAGAATTTGATAAATTAGCCATACGTTGAAGAGGATTGATTGATGTATTGGGAGTACAAATTAAGGCCCGTTTACACGGTACAATTTCTTGAATCCGAGAAATTGGACGGATTTCTCTGTCCAAGAAATTGGATGATTCGTTGACACTATCCAAGTTCTTGAATGTCACTGATTCGTTGAAAGGAAAACTTGCGCATGCGCATTGTTCATATTCAACATTATAAAATAATACTTACATAAGTTTAAAATTACTAAATAAATTCAAATTAAATTATAATAACACAAATAAACCGCAACAGATCAATTTATTTGGACTAAAATATATGAAAACAGACAACAAAATGACATAATTTGCTGCCTGCTTGTTGACGTCGTTGGACCAAGTTCTTCGATGATTGTTTACACGATCCAAGCTCAAAGCAAAACAAGTTTCCATCAATATCAATCAATCTCTGTCCAAGAAATTGGATCGTCTAAACAGGCCTTTAGCTCGGTCGGACAATTTTTGATAACAATCGTCTGCGCTGAAAGTAGCTGTGTTTTTGTTGCCAGATTCTTAAAAACTTAAGTACTTGACCTCCTATTTAACTACAACCTATGAGTATGAAAGCTGTTTCGATATTAACTTAAAAAATAGTAATCATTCTCACAATTTTTAGAGTTTTTTTGAACCAAATTCTGATAGGGATTACACCACTGTTTTCACAGTGTACAATTTAATCAAGTTAGAAAAAGAACATTCTTTCATGAAATTTCTAGAACAAAAAAAATCAGCCAGGGGCGAATTAAACCTTTCCTGTTAATTAATAATTTATATTGATTTCGCCTCACATAGTTCCTTAATGTAACTAAAACGGTTAAAATAGAAAATATGTGTGCAACCAAAAATGGTCGAAAATTCAAAAATAAATTTCATTCAAAAGTTAGTGAAATGAAAAATTTTGAATATTTTATAATTTTAATAACGACATTATTGACTAAAAATTTAATTTTTTTAAAAAAAATTAATTCATTTCATGAATAGCTGGCAAATTAATGGATTTAGCGTAAGATTTAAAATTGTAGCAAATCTTATGCTTTTTTATTTATATAGGTTTCTAACAATTCCATTGAGTACCGATATTTTTCTTTGTCTTTCTATAAGTTATAACGTATATTATGTCACAACTTAGTATAGATTAATTAATTCATAACATGCATGGCTCCCAAATTAAATAAATTTGACGTAAAATTTTATAATTAAAGTTGTAGCAAAATGGATGCTTTTTCTAATTAGAGACGTTTTTAATAGTTCCATTCAGTTTTGTTATGTCCTTTCATTATACTTCTTATTTTAAATGCCACAACTTTTCTCTGAGTTGCAAAGTACTATTTACACTTACTAGTGAAAATTAATTTATTCGTTACATGCATTACTGCCAATTTTTTACAAATTAACCGTTAAGATTTTATAGCATACTTTATGCTTTTCTATTCATGTGCGTTTTTAATAGTTTTATTCAGTCCTGGCATATACTTCTTATTCTAAATGTCATTGTCTTTTTCTGAGTTTTATCGTACGCCATCTTAAAACTTAGTATAAATTAATTTAGATAAGTATTTTCGTGAAAGAATATGTGACATAACTCTTCAATTAAACAAAATATTCTCTTCAAACCACTCTTTCTCCTAGCAAAAATAAAATTATTATTCTTGTAAGTTGTTTACATTACTCTTATGAATATTAATTAGAATGAACTGAAACAAAACTAGATTCTTTTCTTAAATCCATTCAAAGGATTCGGATTTCATTGAAACTGTCAAAAAAAGTTTCTAGTTTTAAGTTAATTAAACGAAGTGATTGTACGTGAAATATGTACGTGAAATGCTTGGAGCATGCCTTGTCTTTTTGTTTTCTAATTTAGGTTTATAAACTTGACATCTTATTAAGGTAAAGTAAGGAATTCTGTCGGAAATAATTAGACTTTTTTTTCTTACTTTTATTTGCATTGTCACTTTCCATTTCGGAATTGTAATATCTACTTAGTACAAGAGCCTGCGGAACTTTGATTACTTTTCATTAAAAAAAATCTTAATTATAAATTTTAAGTAAAGTAATAAATTAAAATTGTAAATCATTTTTGTGAAAGTATTGTATTTCTTCATCATATCTTTTTTTATATGTGTTTGTAAATTTAAAACTACAAAGAAATCGAATTTTAAATGATATTTTGCTTAAATTTTAAAAGAATTATCGAGAAACTGAATAAATGCAGATTAATTAGAATCTTAACTGAAATTCTAGTTTTTCTTGTGGCAAATAATAAATAAAAGAAAACGTGTGCTCTGCTTTAAGGATTAATCCCGCTCTACCTTTTGTTTTTGAATAATTTATCCCAACTCATGTTATTTCATTAATCAACAAGGTGGCTACAATCTAAAAAAATGTAAAAAGTTCTGACAGGTGTTTCTTGAGTATGTTTAAAATTTAAAGAGGGTTTTAGTTTTATCTTAATTCTGGGAACTCATGTGGTCAGTTTTAACTCTTACATCCTCTAATTTACTTATATTTTTGGTCGGGAGGATTAAGTTTAAACAGTTTGCATAGTTAATCGTTTCTATAACTTTTGAAATTTTTCCAGAGTATGACCAATTTGTAATTAACTTAATTCCTTACCAAGTAGGGAGTTAATGCAACATTGTGTAGTGACAACAAAAACGCCTTAAGCAGTCATATTAAAAAATAGAAAGGGCTATAATATTATGAATATAATACCTGTATGCAGTTTTTAAAACAGGGTGAAAACTGGAGCATATATACTGTGTTTTCTTCAATCATAGACAGCTAATTTTTTCCTATTTCTTGATAGGATGCTGCGGTTCCTGTATACTCTCTTCAAAATTAATTTTTACGCTAAAATACTACCATAAATAATTTTAAAAATTTACTTAAGTTATAAATATTTCCACTCCCAAATTTTCTATTGTATGAAATATAAAAAATTTATTTTAATTGTTTTCTAAAAACCGTGCGAACTATTACAATTAACCCATTAACAGTGAACTTCTTCTTATCTTGTAATGATGTGAAAAGACTTTTAGTTTATTGAATTTAAATTAAGTGAATATTTTCTCGTATTATCAATCATGGTAGTAAGAGATGTATAGTTTTTCCACGATTAAAGCTAAGAATGGAATAATTTTGCTGCGCGTTTTTTAGTTTTTGAAGGGAAAAAAAAGAACTGGAAAAGTTTCTTAACAAGAAACTCTTATTTTTCATAATCTCGCAAAAATAATTAAATTTCTCTTTTAATGAACGTCAGTTTTAAATATATTTACAGGAAATTTCACATGTATTCAAGTGGTCTTCACACTCAAAAGAAGGCTTGGATATTACATGTTCCACACCTACATTCCAACATGTCTAATTGTCATCATGTCCTGGATATCTTTCTGGATAAAACCAGAAGCAGTGCCTGCAAGAGTAACCCTCTGTGTAACATCCCTCCTAACCTTGTCCACACAACACGCACAGTCTCAGAAATCATTGCCACCCGTCTCCTACATCAAAGCCATTGATATCTTCATGTCCTCGTGCACTGTTTTTGTGTTTGCTTCACTCATGGAGTACGCCTTGGTCAATATCCTACTTGGCGAAGGGTTAGATGGCTATTTGGATGAAGATGGCAATCAGACACATTCTCTGTTTGCCAGAAATACGCCAAATATACTGATCGTGCCCAGGATGCAAGTAGGCATTTATTTATATATTTACATAAAGTATCTCAATATATTGAAGATAGTACTCTTAATTTCATTGATTGTCCTCAAGAAATTTAAATTCTTTGAGGACCAAAAATGTTTCATAATTTTTAATCCTCAATTACTCACATTTTCTCGAATTTCTCCGAAAACATGTTTTCATTTGCAGTGACGTATAAAAAAAAAATTCTGAAAAATCTTTTTTTCTAAACGTGATAGTATTTCTTACAGGGAATACAATAGAAAAGCAAAAAAAAGCCCCAAGCTAAAAGATTAAAAGCGCTATACGTGTCTTGAAAAAAATAAACAAATAATAATCACGTACTCATTAATTTTACATTTTTTCAAATACAGAATATAGTACGATATTTCAAAACTGCTCAGTAATGAAATCAAGTTTGATAAAGATGGTTATGCACCTGATATTAGTTATCAATTTAAAAAAATCTTTGTTGCATATTTAAATTAATATTTTTCGTAAATATATGAAATCATATACCATATCCTCAAATCAAAAATTTTTCCGGGACATTCCGTTGATTTGTCTTCAAGTCAAGGTTTTTAAATCTGGTTACATGATAATTACATAATGCAGGAATGCTTAGCGCTCTGCTTAGCAGGAAGAAAAAAAAAATAACCAATTAAGAGAGAAATGAAATTAAAGTTAGCAAAATTTTATTCAAATTTTTCGAAAACTGAAAATTATCGTTATTTTTCATGGACATTTTTGAAAATGAAAACTGGTAAATTAATTATTTTATTTATCTTGATAAAACATCGGCGCTCACCAAAATATAATAAAAGCAGTTTTATATTGTAATATTTTTAAAACTATAAACATACTCATACTAGCTAATTTTCTACCTGTTTTATCAAAAAGGTACAATTTACATTATTACAAAGTGTTGCACAAACGCTTAGTGAGCGAGGATGGGTTAATTTACAATAGAGTACCGATTATCTGTGCCAGGGATGGGCAAACTGTTTTGGTTGAGGGCCAAAAATCGAGAAAAAAAATGTTTGGTGGGATAAATAAAACTTTCAAAATTTAAAAAAAAAGCGATATACAAGTTTTAATTTAAATATTTAGTGAGATGAATGAAATTGCGATTTCGTTTTTAAAAGTTCCTTATATTAAGGTTCGAAGCGAGATGTGCCTATTTTACGGAACAAGGCTAAATGCTTTTCTGTTAGTCCACTTCTGAAATGATTCTTTCTAAGGTTCAAAGTTGAAAACTCTTGTTCACATATATAAGATTAAGCAAACATAGAGCTGATTTTCTGGGCATGAAATATTAAATTTTGGAAACTAGCTTTTGGTAATGATTTGTAAAACTTTGGCATATTTAGAAACAACTGCTTCAGATGATTGTTAGATTGTCCGCTCGTTGGATCTTAAAATGCGTAGTCTGCCAAATGTGAAGTACAATTTACCTATATTAGATTCCTCGAGAAAGACAAACGCTAGTTAGAGCCAATCTAAGACTATTCTATGAAGAACTTCTGCTTTCAACATTTTACCAATTGAAGCTGTC